TGCTTCACGTTCGACGCACCGATTGCGGTAGCGATGTTTTTGCTGGGGTTGGTGTATGGGTTGGTGGGACTTTTTGGGCGTAGGTGAGTGGGTAATGGCGGTAGTAGTAGCCGTGATGGTTGGGGAGGAAGACATGGTGGATATGGATGTAGTGAGGGGAGGGTCATGGATGTTCAATAGCAGGGTAGAGGATGAATGGATTCACGGTCGGATGGCTGGACGGATCGTGAAAGTGGTTGGTGGATGTTTGCACAAACGGCAGGAGTGAAGGATGCATGGTCGAGCAGATGATTAGATCCACGGAAAAATGCTTGCATGAATGAGTTTGTGTATGGAAGACGCTGGCATCGATAATCCCATTCAAAATCGGCCAGGCACCGAGAGGGATGTCTGTACGACCAATGCCACGTATTATACCTCTCGGCAAAGCCTTGCCAATGGATAGACTACTCCTTTCAGAGCTTCGAATGGCTCATAATCGAGAAGGACATGACAGGAGTGGAGATAGATTCCCAATCGATCAACCTCAACGCAGCAATCGTGCCACCGTCTGCCTAAGCGTTGATATTCCGTATGGCTCTACGATACGCTTATGATTTACAGTTCCACAATGCTTTCCGCTGGTCGTTGTTGGATGGAATATCAATCAACACCGGCAATTAATGGATTAGGATTCTATGGTTGATCTTTTGATAATTTTTTCGTTATCGATCCTTGCAACCTTTGAGCGATCAATTAGATAAGTATGGAAGCACAGGAGGTTCAATGTCTTCGATTTCTCCAATTCTCCTATTGAACTATTCCGATCTTCAACTTCCTTTGGACACAGCATATAAATCCACTTGTACATAGCCCGATGGTGGAGTTTTCGTCGCAAGGGCCCAGTACAGATTACCGCTTGAAGTTTGCAACATCGTTTTATAAGCTGTACCACCTTGATTTGTACAGCTAATGAGACTCGTAGTTGCAGAGATTGAACAAGAAGCATAATATGACTGGAATGAGCTAGAAGCTTTCGCAGTTAAGAATAGGGGGTTAGAACCTAAAGGAGTATAAATAATCGCTATCCATCCTTTGTTAGGACTGTATTCCATCAATTGATACGATGATGAATCGATGTAGAAACTGTTTGCGTTGGAAAGGGTCGTTGTATAAGTTTTGCTGTGATCAGCAGTACCAGATTGATAAGTTCCGAGTACAGAATAAGTTCCGTTGTAATTGCTATTAGTAGATATGAATTGAATTGCGAATGGAGCTGAAATAGTATTAGGAGTGCTAGTAGCTGCGCCTGTAGTTGTAGTTGTAGTACTTGTCGTTTTAGTGGTGGTACTAGTCGTTGTAGTGGTGGTACTAGTCGTCGTAGTGGTGGTACTAGTCGTCGTAGTGGTGGTACTAGTCGTTGTAGTTGTTGTCTGGACAGTACTTGTAGTCGTGGGTGCATCAGAAGTTGTTGCAATAGCTGTAGTCGTTGTACTCGGTATAGTAGTTAACGCATCAGTAGTACTTGTAGTCGATGTTGTGATTGATGTCGTAGTCGGTGTTATAGTCGGTGTGTAGTCGATGTTGTAGTCAATGTTGAACTGCTCATGGTAGTAGTTGTTGTATCGGTATTACTCGTAGTAGTCGGTACGTCAGCAATAGGCATAATAGCTGTAGTCGTTGCACTTGCTGTATTAGACGCACTTGCTGTAGTAGATGAACTTTCTATAGTAGATGAACTGGCTGCTGTAGACGAACTTGTTGTAGTAGACGAACTGGTTGTAGTAGGCGAACTTTCTGTAGTAGATGAACTGGCTATAGTAGACGAATTTTCTGTAGTAGAAGAACTAGGCGTGGTAGACAAACTTGTTGTAGTAGTCGAACTTGTTGTAGTAGACGAACTTGTTGTAGTAGACCAGCTTGTTGCAGTAGATGAACTTGTTGTAGTAAATGAACTTGTTGTAACAGATGAAATTGCTGTAGTAGACAATGCATCACTAGTAGTTGGAGTAGTTGTCCCAATGGTCGTCGTAGTAGTCGGAACTTCAGCAGTAGTCGTAGTAGTTGTACTCGTCATTTCGTTCGTCTGAATTGTACTCGTTGCTGCTTCGATAGTAGCTGTAGTACTCATAGCATCCGTAATAGGTCTACCAGTCGCTATATCAGTAGTAGTTGTACTCTGGTGTTGTACTTCCGTTATCGTAGTGGTGCTCTGATTTGTACTAGTTGAAACTGTTGTAGTCGTGATTGAATATCTTACTCCCGATGTTGTTAACGTGAACCTTGATTTTCCATTACTGGTACCAGTCGTTGACGTACTGTATACTATCGACGAGCTCTTCGATACTCTACTTGGAGTAGTTCCTGTGGCTGAAGTCGAATGTTTGTGTGACACTGATATGGCTCTAGTGGCTGTGCTGGAGCTGAGAGAGTGTGTAGCACTTGGCAATGAATACCGAATGGATGTCACGGGTTTGGTATTGCTCTTGGTTGCTTTAGTTCTTTGTGTCTTGCTTGATGGGTCCATTGTGTTTGTATTCGATTTCTTAACATCGATTGTATTTGTAGTTTTCGATACTGGGCGCGTAAAAGTTGTTGAGGGTCTTTTCGTGTTCGCCGGTATGGCAGATGTGGATTGTGTGAACGTCAACGAAGTTGTTGCGGACAAGCTGTCGGAACTAGTGGTCGATGATGATGACCTAGCTATACACGAGCAAGCTTGGTTTATCTTCGGAACAGACAATCCGGTTATCGGTGTAATGTTAAGATCCGAGCCCGACCACGCGGTGAAGAATTTGCAGAATGCTAACCCGTCTTTGAACTCGGTCTTGATAGTCCGAATATCGACGATGGAGCATATTTGACTTGATGCAGACATAGTGGAAGTCCGAGCTGTCGGCCGTCTTGCATTTGATTGTGCTGCAGTGGCTCCCAAACATTGACATACTGTTGTAGTGCGATGTGCATCCAGACCAGGAAATGGTGATAAAACTCGACGACTGCAACGGAGTTGTCGTTAGAGACATTAAGGACAGACATGGAAGAAACAAATACCGTGACAGGTAGAAGCTGCAAAACTCTAAGGGATGAGCAGTACTAGATTGTACGAGAGCGATATCTTGCTTGGAGCATGATACTTGACTTTGAGCGCTTGTTGCAACCGCGTTTGACCAAGACAGCAAAAGCAAGAATGTTGCAAGCCATAGAAGCAGCGATGAGATCGGCTTCATTTGAGACGTGAGGGAAGGATTGGATAATCAGCGCTACGGTGACGAAACACAATGAGTGGATGATCGGAAAAGTGAACGAGGGATTAGTGTTCGGGAGTGTTGAGCCTGCAGGAACACTCGAGCGCTGTGGGTTTTGATATATTATTCCCAATTGACCTTCTTGAGACTGGCTTTTGAGGAGCTTCCAGCTACTATGGCTTTCTTAACGATCGTATCGTCGACAATTTGCAACCGTTCGTTGAGATATCTAGCGGATGTGGAGATTTTCTTGCGTTGGTGATCAGACTGTTTCCAACCTCACTGGCAACTAGCGCAACTCAAAATCTGTTCCCGTTTGAACTCAATATATCGATCGACCTCGACTGCTACCAACGTTACCCTGGCATGCTTGGAAGTTAATTTGATCCAAACCTTGCCCCTGTCGGCAGCGTGCTCCAGCAATTTCCCACATTCCGAGTCTGAGAAACCACTGAATTTTTTTCGGCAAGGAGGTGGCAAAGACTCTCCGAAGGGCTCATGCTGAAGGTGAGCAGACTCGCGCTCAGATGAATATTGGAGCAATCATCATTACTGTGTCAGCGGCCTTTTTTGCCGACATTGGTACAATATTGAAAGCTCATTCACGGCCGTGGCCTGGCTCGGCATGCGATTGTCGTAGAGAGGATAGTTATGGATGACTGCCAGAAAGCGAGCTGCTGATTCTCGGATTGTCCAAATGCTGTCACTCTGCACCACTCACATAGCCTCGTGGGCTGGCAGGCGAGCTCAGCAGCTTTGCACTTAAACTTCCAAGACACTTTGTCTCCCCTCTTGTCCACGCGAACTCCTGTTGGCTGGCAGTAGGATTGGCGTGAGTCGTGCCCGGGCTTACCAAATTGAAATCGTTCCAGAAAGGTCAGAGAGTGCATCGATCAGAACGCCACTCCGCCTTGTTCATGGTATTGACTTTCCAATCTTGCCGACGATCTCGTCGTAGAGGGAATTGCCCGCCACGGCCAAGATGTGTATATCTTAGAATTAACCAGCGTTGGTCGCTACCAATGATATTAGAAACCTGCAGAGGCTCGTGACTAGGCTGCTCCGTGAGGCTTAGGCTTGAGGTGATATGAGTAGGCAGGAGAGTCGTCACATAGGCCCTTCTGACTCATGGGGTACTGCACTATATGCCTGATCAATCGTTGAAGGTCTTACTCTTCTTCGGTGCGTCACTCATCCTTTATCACTGCATTCATAACTTCAACAGGGTGCGTCGACTGAGCCTGAGGTTTGAGGTGGACGGCAGTGAGTATGTCGGCTGGTCTCCGCCAAATCAACGTAGAAGGCGACCACCCGGCGCATAGGGTCTAGGAACATCTTCGAAGATTTTGAATAGCCGCAGATCATACTTGGATGCTCAGTGCAAAGTGAAAGACCCAAAACATGTCCAGGAAGACTCAGGGACGATGACCGTGCAAGTGATACGTCGGTGGGACACTGCCCGGAATGTTCGTGACTTCCGCCACCCAACCAGTGTTGTAAACGCTTTGGATATCACGTTCTTGTAGAATTTTGGAAAATAGAATACCAATTTTGTTTTTTTGCAAAGCAATGCTTGCAAATATGCTTTCAATTTCTATTGAATTTCTTGTTGTGGTGATGCGATATTCGGCTGTGGGAGAGCGCAATTCGAGCCAGTACTCAAGTGCAAAACTCGCAAGATCGACTGCGATTGGCAGGAGGGACTAGCAGAAGAGTAGATTTTGCAGTATATATTATATTCAATTTGTTTCCTTTCCAACAAGAACCAAACCATCCCTGCTAGCTCAGTTGGCTAGAGCGTCTGACTGTTAATCAGGAGGTCGATGGTTCGAGCCCATCGCGGGGAGCTCTTCTTGTATCTTTCTTTTTGCATATTTTTGTCAATCTTTCGTCCACACTCCAATCTTCTGGCCTCGCTCCGCCCTGTGGCCAACCTACTTTGCTCTGCAAGCAGCATGTAGGTGTTAGACCTCTTTTACATCTCGATTTAGCCTTGCTACGGCTCTTAAATTAAAGGTCAGACTTTGACAACCCAGTCGGCCGTGCACGCATAAATCTTTTAGACCTAGGGCCGCAAGACGCTACCCTGACCTCAACACACATGTACAGAGTCCCAAAACTGCTCCACGTGCCATTCGACCAAGACAACGACACAGCTTACGTGAGCATTAATTGTGCACCTGCAAGCGATTCCAAGGGTTCCAAATTTGTCGCCGTCACGAACCACAAGCTATGTGCTCGCTGGCCGAGCCTAATGTCGCATCACCGCGCCTACCAGTACAGCCGACGACTGCCGCCGTCACATCAAACCCACAGCAATCTCCAACGCCGGTACCATGGCTTCTGTCGGGACTTCAAACCGCGCCCTGTACTAGGAAGCTATCGCATCGGCGACGAAAAGGACAGCAGGCCGCCATGCACTAAGGCTCCGTTCTCGAAGAACGAGGTAGGATCATATCGCTTGTTGGTAGGGAAACTCATGCGAGAGAGAGCAAGAGCAGGATTGTACTTTTGTCGCAGCGGAGAACCCGCCCGGTTGGGCAAAAAGAGAAGATGTGCCGCACGGGCGAGTCGGTAGGTAAGGCTTTCGCTGGAGCTCCCGGCCTCATAAGGTCGCCGAATAAGGAGAAAGGCTTAGTGGTGCTTTGCCATCTCTGGCTGCGGCGATGGTGGATCCGTCGCTGTACTCTAGGTAGGAGGTTCGCTCCCGGCGCGGCTTGCATGAGGGTACATGTTGTGCTGCCGACGGATGTAGTAGTGTTTGGTTGAGGTAGATCCGTGCATTACTGAGTAGAGCTTGAGGATCGCGAACGGCCTAGTCCCTTTGTCTGGGTAGTCGTGCGGATTGTGGCCTCGTGCTTGTCATTGCTGGCGCTTTACTTTGTGCATATGTCGCCTGCATCGAGAGGGTATGGAGGATCGCATTAGGCCTGTCACTATTGCTAGAGGCTTTAGGTTGAGGACGGCACGGGAGTTATTGGATGGGATCTGGATGCACCCTAAGCTTCAGACGCTCAACAACTTCCGGGTACGATTCGACTTCCTCGGATACAAGACCCATGACCAAAACCATGTTAACTCCCAGAGTGTGGACGAAGCACTCGGTGGTAGTATGACACGGACTCGCTCGGATCGTGATTCGACCGTGCATAAAGGCTGAAACACTTTTTCACGAAGATTGCGGACGATTGCAGGAAATCATTCTGCTACAGCAAGCACCTCTACACACGCTTTTTCTGGTGATGGGTCCAATGACGTTTATGCTTTTCGCTGGTATAGATGGGAAATCGATAGGGAACATAAGGAAGCTTATAGTAGTGTTTACCAGGGAAGTCGATGAAGTTGCATATCGAAAGCTTGAATTCGCGGTGCTTGCAAGGTCATGTGCTGATTGGGTGATGACGTCTACGGAGGCCCTCTCGCAGATGCAAATGCTAAGACTCAATACTGACATTTCTACTATTTACTTGATTATAGTCCGAGGACAATAAACATTTCATTCGCTATTATGGCGGCGTTCGCAGTCAAATCAATTGACCACGTCGTGCTGACGGTGAAGAATATTCCCGCAACAATCGCTTTCTACACGCAACGACTGGGCATGCGCCACGAGAAATTCACATCCAAGGGTTCCGAGCGGCATGCACTGCTATTTGGCAACCAGAAGATAAATCTGCATCTGTCCGGCCACGAATTTGAGCCAAAGGCAGGTCACGTTCAACCTGGAAGCGAGGACCTGTGTTTCATCACCGACCATCCGGTCGAGCAGGTGGCAGAAGCATGGAGAAAGGAAGGAGTAAAGGTGTGTGTATACCTGTGCTGAAGTCTCAGCTCCTCACTGCTGCTTTTTTTTTCTTGTCTCTTTGATCTACTCTACACGGCAGACAGCTGACCAGTACGGTTTGCAGATTCTAGAAGACGACAAGATAGTAGACCGGACGGGAGCGGTAGGCAAGCTACGCAGCGTCTACTGCAGGGATCCCGATGGTAATTTGATAGAGTGAGTCTTTCAACCCTTACTGTCGAATGTGATTAATCTCTGGATGTCCAGTCCACGAGACCATGTCAAAATGACCAAAGAAAAGACAAATCATTGACATGCACAGGGTCTCGAATTACGTCTGATTGTGTTGCAAGTGTTCTTGCCATGGCCGACTACTGTTTACGGTATTCGTGAGTGCCGTAGCCGTTTCCACAAGCAGTAGAGGGGTAGGAGCTTCTTCAAAAAGTGTAAAATAGCAATACCAAAGGTCTTTGCCCAACTCTGTCTAAATCTATTCAATCGGCCGTTGCTCGTTACCAGACCCCTCCACCAGAAAGTATCACTTTTCACGATTTTAAACTTATGAGGAGCTCTTCGCCGCGCCATTGACATAAGCCAGAACCCTGTTCGACCCGCCGCAAACATCTGCCGAGCTTCCAGAGCAAGGGTAGTTGCACCCTTGCGACACCGCATCTCCGCTCAGACCCCTCCCAGCATCAGGCTTGGTGTTCGAAGCCCAACACTCACCCGAGTACTCCGTCCCGCAATACGCCAGTCCCTGCGCAGCGCACGAGCTGAGACAGTTGGCGTTTGTCATGTTGGCTTGACCACCTGCAACACCCACTGCGGTGGGCAGAGTGCGGTTGCTGGCTGTGTCAGAATAGCAGGACATCAGCGTCCAAGTGCCGATGGTAGTCTTGGCTGTGACTTGCTGTTGTGCGTTGTTGTCGACTGTGACGGAAAGACGATTGGGACCGCCGCAGGTCAGGTTAGAATTACCAGTGCAGGGCATGTTGCAGTCTGCAGAGGCGGCGGTGGAGGGAGGCTTGGTGTTGCCGCAGAAGCACTCGGCGCTGTATTCTGTGCCAGCGTATTTGTAGCCGAGAGCGCGGCAGGCTAAGGAACATTGGTAGGGGGTGTTGGTGCTGTTGCTGTAGGCTTGGTAGGTGAGGACGCGGGCTGATACTATGTCTACCATGCAGCCTACCGAAGAGACGCCGGCTGGGAGGATGGTGCCGCTCACTTGGCGAGCTCCCCAGATGTTCTCGTTGTAGACTGGGGCAGTGAGGGTGCTCTTCATGTAGCAGACTGCACCGGAGAAGGCCACGTCGAGACAACCGGAGGTGTTTGCGCAGGATTCAAGACAGCCAGCAAAGCTGTTGGCTGGGACTGATGACAGGTCGCCGGAGAAGTGATCGATGCCACATTCGATGAGGAAGCCATCTCCGTTAGTGGTAGTGTAGACCGTGCCGTTGCTCGCCGGACATGAAATGGCGCTGAAACCTGAGAGAATGAGTACAAGTCGTATTGAAAAAGGTCATGACGTACCTTTGAAGCCAGAGACGTAGTTACCACCCGCTGGAGTGTATGTTCCCATACCGCTCTTCAGCCAGCAGGTACCAGCGCCGGACCCTCCTTGCCCACCGACATAGACGAAGCCTTCGCAGTTGTTTGCAGCATCAGCATCGCACAGCGTCATGCAGTCGAGGTACGAGCTGGCTGCAGCAGCGAATCCATAAGCTCCGTGAGTGCTGTCTGAGCTGCAAGTGATGCTGTACGATGCTGAGCTGTTGTATGAGACTGTCTGGCCATCCGCAGTGGGGCACAGATTGGCTGAAGAGGCAGCTAGTGTCTTGATGGAGGCCGTCGGTGCTGCCGCTACTGTAGACAGCACGAGGAGCAGCAAATGAGGTTGGTTTGAGAACTTCATGATGAATGTGAAGCAATTGATCTTCAACAATGTCGAAAGATGCAGCGGATATATGGTAGGAAGAACAAATTATAGAGATGCGGCTGCTGCTTGATGCTGCATCGCCATTTTCGAGGGAACATCATTGCCTTATATGTTGCTCACTTCATGATCTAGAATTCGGCCTAGAACTCTTTGTTCTATAATTATACCATGAGAAAAAGGAAGGCCGTTGCTTGCAAGAATAAGGAAACACGGGAACCACCGCGCAACGTGCGGCTGGCAGTCTAGACATTCCGCGGAGAAGGTTAAAGCGGTATGCTCTATCCAGCCTGTCGCTCGCCAGGCACAGGTAGTAGAGGGAACTTGGGGACGTAAAACGGTCACCGATCTCGGCTCGGCCAGAAAACGTTGATATGCACTGGTATTCGAGACCTGGCACCGGTGCGGCTTCACGAGGATTAGAAGGGGTTCGGTACGGAAGACACGCCGTGTAGTGGAAGCTAGACACGTACGCTGTGACCTCTCAGAGTCGCTTGTAGTAGTCCAGCTGCCGGCTCATCGTGAGGCTATGGACACCCACAAACACGGACTACGCGCAGGCGCCGAAGTGTGTGCCCAGGAAGAACCTCGTCGAATGACTCCTGCTGTTGGTTGGTTCCGGCCATCAGCTATTGTTCATGACCGCTGCGATGGGCAAGCTCTGAAGACCGAAGGTCTGAGAAAGGTAGGAAGATCAGGATGGACAGTGCGTTATCCCCACAAAAGTCAATGTTTGGCTCGGCCCCCGGCCGCACCCGGCGTCTCGGACCCGAGCCTGCATCTTGCCTTCGCTTATCGATATCTCGAAGCATACATTCAGCATTAATTGTCCATGATTACGCATCCATTGCGGTCTTCTCTAAGATCTCATGACAATAAATGGGCACGATCCTCCATTTCCACAGATATCAAATGCCGACTTTGTGACCTATCAACACTCTGTATTGCTGTCTCTCTCGGTGGCCGACACGATCGCGACACCATCACAGGTCAGTCACCGTTCGTGAGGCTGACCGAATCAGACGCGGTATCTTTCGCGAATTGGCGAGTCCAAAGCTGTTACAGCCACCTGGAGCCGGACGATTAGTCAATTGATACGGGAAGAAGTGCAATACGGGGAAGCGTATCGAATG